CTCACACACACACACACACACACACACACACACACACGAGCAAAATGAGGCTCAACTCAGAGCAAATGTTAAGAGCAGTAATTTTCAAAGTTAAAAATAAAAGCCACGGAACCTTTTTCTCAAACTAATTTTCCCAGAACCCCTTTTGAATAAAATACTTGGTGGTGGAGGGAGACCTGAAGGACCTCAACCCCCGTGACAGTCCCCGAGGTAGCAGGTTCCAGAGAACACCCTCTGGCAGCTGCTCTGGCAGCAGCTCTCACCCGGGGACCAGTTTTTAAAGTAAGCTCCTCTTCAAAAACCTTTGAGGTCTGCACTCATTCCTGCCGCCCCTGGGACCCTGTCTGGGAGGGAGGGGCATGACAGCCAGCGCACGGGAAAGACATAAAGGAGGATGAAACAACGGGGATTGGAACAATCAGGTCTCCTGCCTGACATGGATTCAGAGCCCGAAGTCCCTCGCAGCCCATGGAGACCTCGAGTGAGCTTTTATGGCCTCACAAAGTTCAGAAAAATCTGACCCAGGAAATAAATATAACAGGTAAAATAACATAAAAAGGTTGGAGCTATTTCCTTCCTCCTCCACACTCCCAAGCCCTAACCATACCTTCCTGCCTGCACTCCAGCACCACAATGCACTTGACAGTGGTCGGGGACCAGCAGCAGCCCCGGGAGCCTGGTAGAAATAACACTCCTGGTTCCACCCAGACCCACTGAATCAGAAAGTCTGCTCTTCAAGGGATTCTTAATAATAATTTAGTTGGGAAGCCATCACTGTAAGTTATTTATATGACTTTCTTAAAAAATATATTTTATTGATTTTTTACAGAGAGGAAGGGAGAGTGATAGAGAGTTAGAAACATTGATGAGAGAGAAACATCGATCAGCTGCCTCCTGCACGCCCCCTACTGGGGATGTGCCCACAACCAAGGTACATGCCCTTGACTGGAATCGAACCTGGGACCCTTGAGTCCGCAGGCCGACGCTCTATCCACTGAGCCAAACCGGTTAGGGCAATATATGACTTTTCTTATTATATTATTAGCTGCTTGAGCAAACTGTTATACATTTGCTTTCAAAAAGCTTAGTTTAGTACCTGTTGGAGAGAACACTGCAGGAGAGAAAATGCAAAGGAAAAGCAATAATCCTGGACTTGTTTTGTGAGAGAAGCTAGCTGGAGGGTTAGAACAGACACAGCTGTACACCCTTTGCTTGGCTCAGAGCCACTGTGACAGAGCAACAGAGGACATTGGGACAGCCCGACAAGGTCTGGATTGCACCTCCAGGGAAGCATCCTCATGGACACCTACATTTCAGTATGAGGCTGAGGACTCTGAAAACCCATTCCTCCCCTTCGATGAAAGAGGGCAGTAGCTGAATGAGCTTTCTGCACGTGTACATTCTTTCTGGTTGCTAATGTGGTCTTGAGAAAATTCTGATGTCTGGAGAAAGGTTTTCCACAGCAGGAGCCCGTCATGTGGGTACCCAACTGAAGGAGTAGCAGCAGCAGGGAGCAACCTGGCTTGGGGGGGGGGGGGGGTTAAGCCTGGCTTTGGGGGGGGGGGTGGTTACCTTCCTTACTCACTGCCCATCCTGCTCAAACTTAATATAATGGGGAGGCTGCGCTGGCTCAATTTGGTTGAAGTGTTGTCCCATTCACCAAAATATTGCAGGTTCGATTCCTGATCCAGGCACATATTCAGGTTGTGGGTTAGGTCCTGGGTCAGGGCCCATACAAGAGGCAACGTTGATTCTCTGTCACGTCAATGTCCTGTCCTTCCCCTCCCTTCCCTCCTTCTTAAAAAAAAAAAAAAAAAAGAATGGGAAGGCTAAAAAAAGAAGGGAAGGTTTGCTTCCCTGGCCCCACTGTGATGAAATGGGGTTCAGGGAGGGGATAAGATTCCTCCTGAGAGGAATGTTGACTACCCTACTACAAGGAGAGCCAGGCCCCAGGGAGCCAAAAGAGATCAGCAGGCCAGGGCTTTCCCCTTGCACCAGATCCAGCTATATTCTTTCTCCTTGTGCACCTGAGGACAATGTTACTGAGGGGTCAATATACAACAAATATACAATATACAACGAATAGGCTTTTCTCTTAGCATAAACATATGCAACCAAAAGAGCTCACACTGGATTTGGATAAACAAGAGCTAAAACTTCCCCACCCCCAATCCCTTTGAAAGAAAGAGGTGCAGTCTTGAGGAAAGTTTAAACCTAGGAGCTCATGAAGGTCATCTAGTCTGCCTTTTACTTTAGATGAGGAAACAAAAGTGCAAAAGGTGAAGCACCAGTTGAAGATCACACTGAAACAGATAAAGATGAAGGACTCTTAGAAACAGTGGGAAAAGTCCTCTCTTAGTGGACTTCATCTGAGTGTAGTTGAGAACACAAGGTCCAAGAACTTCAAATCAATCCTGTATTTCCTCTGCTCGTTGGATACTTCTACGTGGAAATATTGCACAGCAATCTCATGGTCAACGTGTCTGAAACTAAACACACTCCCTCCAGTGGCCTGTCCTCCTCGGTTCCAGGTTTCAGCCAAAGACGCCACTCAATTGCCTACGCCAGAGACCTGGTGGCCACCCGGTTCTCCCTCAAATTCAATGCTTCACCAAGGTCCTAGTTAATCTATCTCCTCATCCACCTGATCTCCTCCCACCCTGGACTACTGAAAAGGCCTCCTGATACTACATGGGCCACTACACTGCAGCCAGGACAGCTTTTAAAATACACAATTCAGTAATGTCACTCTTCCCCTTAAAACCTTTCTGGGGCCCTAGTTGGTTTGGCTCAGTGGATAGAGCATCGGACTGCGGACCGAAGGGTCCCAGGTTCGATTCCGGTCAAGGGCACGTGCCTGGGTTGTGGGCTCGATCCCCAGTTGGGGATGTGCAGGAGGCAGCCGATCAATGATTCTCTCTCATCATTGATGTTTCTATCTCTCTCTTCCTCTTTGAAATCAATAAAATATATTAAAAAACAACAACAACAACAAAAACCTTTCTGCGATTTCTTTGCTTGTTGGATAGTGCCTGAACTCCACATATCACAGCCTCGAAAACCCCACAGGACCTGGCTTGCTTCTTTCCAGCCCTGCTCTCACCCGGTTCTCCGTCAAGGTCTAGATCATTTTCATTGCTTGACTATACCTGGTCCTCTCCCACTTTTAGGCCTTAAACACACACTTGTTCCCTCTGCCTAGGGTGTTCTTCTCCCCTCCTTTCACTTGGCTTAACTCTTACTCATTCTTCAAAGGACTCCCCCGCCCGTCCCTCCCTCCCCCCACACACACATACTTGGGTGGTGGAGAGGAAGCACCTTCTCTGTTCTACTGTACCTGCACCTCCCACCCACAGCAGCAACCTCCAGGATTTAACGTCTTATTCTTTGCTCACCCCAGTGCCTAGCACAGTGCATCAGAAAATAGCAAGAAATCACCCATTTGTTGTTCTTGATAAAATGGAGGAAAAAAAATATGCTTCCATCTTGCCCTTCAGAGGAGGAAATGATAAAACTGTAGGTAATTCAATTCTGTGCGGGAGAGAAATATGCACAGAAAGAGCAAGAACATGAGACATGTAGATGCTATTCTTAAATAAGATTACATTCCTACCCTGATTTAATAACGCCTTATATTTGCATACATTTTTATACACAGCCAAGAATTCGTACATCGTCATTTGGGAACCTCACTGAAAGCTCTGGGGACTTGGCAGCAATGGGTTTCATGTTAACAATGAGAAAACAATCTCTCCAAGGTCTCAGCTAACTTGCAGTGTTTGCACTGGGATCAGAAGCCAAGGCTCGGGTTCCTTCCCGTGCACCATCCCTCCCTGCAGTGGGGATGCCCCATCACTGGAGGTGGTGGCCAGCTCCAGGAGCACAGGTGGTCTGCGTCTCTAGCTTTTGTACTCAATGTACTAGAATAAACCCAGGGACAGAGTCCTAGGGCAGCTTGCCTGACAGATGCAGAATGTGGCCAGAAAAAACCAGCAATCAACACGGAAAGCTCATACAGGATGACAAATTCCATTTTTTATGGGGAAAAATAAATTTTGAAATAAGAAAAATAAATCAAGGATTCCGTTAAGCCATCAGCTCCCACTCACATACCTCAGCAAGTAGTCGATCTGTGTCTGTTAGGAGCCATTCGAGGCCTATTTTGGGACCATCCGTTAGGGATGCTCTTCTGGTGTTACAGCTAAGAATGTACATGGGCCATGCCCAGCTTTGCGGCCCAGCACAGTGCGCTGGCTTCTGCAGTGGGTTAAACAGCGTCCTCCCAAAATTCACATTTACCTAGAACCTCAGAATGTAACCTTTTTTTAAAAAACAATGTATTTTATTGATTGTTTGCAGAGAGGAATGAAGAGGGATAGAGAGTTAGAAACATCGATGAGAGAGAAACATCGATCAGCTGCCTCCTGCACACTTCCCAATGGGTATGTGCCTGCAACCAAGGTACATGCCCTTGACCGGAATCGAACCTGGGACCCTTGAGTCCTCAGGCCAACGCTCTATCCACTGAGCCAAACTGTGTAAGGCCGAATGTAACCTTTTTGAAAAAAAGGAATTTTGCAGGTGTAGTTATTCAAGTATCTCGAGATGAAATCATTCTGGATTTAGGATGCGCCTAGAGCAATGGTTCTCAACCTTGGCTGCACAGTAGAATCACCTGGGAATCTTTTTAAAATCCTGATTTCTGGGCCTCATCCTCCGGAAATTCTGTTTCTTTGTTACTAATGTTGTGGCCTCACCCCATAACAAAGAAACAGAATTTCCGGAGGATGAGGCCCCAGAATCAGGATTTTAAAAAGATTCCCAGGTGATTGTAACGTGCAGCCAAGGTTGAGAACCACTGCTCTACTGGCTGGAAGGAAAGAGCCTGAGCTTTAGAGTGGAACTCAGCCCTGCCAGTGCTGTGCAGCCTTGGGCTAGTCACTTGGTGTCTCTGAGCCTTGGTTTCTTCATTCTGAGATGTGGGGAGAAGACCCAGGGTCCATAGGCCTGTTTGGAGGGTTAGACAGGAATAGGTTTACAAACCACACAATGACTGTCAGATGGGCAACTACTGCTCCCTCCCCAAGCCCTGGCATCCTGCCCTCAGGCATGAGAAGTTGAGGTACCTGTAAGTCTGGGGATGAGAAGCTAGTCCTACCCCCTGCAATCAGGATTTTAAAGATTCCCAGGTGATTCTAATGTGCAGCCAAGGTTGAGAACCACTGGCCTAGAGAGAGGCATAGGATAGTTTCTCCCTCAGAGCCTCCAAAAATAAATACTGCTTGACAACTCGATTTCAGACTTCTGGCTTCCTAAACTGCGAGAGAATAGATTTTTGTTGTTTTCAGCCACCGAGTTGGTGGTAATTTGCTGGAAAACTACAGTTCCCATAGATTCTATGGCACAGAAGGTCACACACCTCCGCTGGTTCCCCAAGAAGATAAATATAGAGGAAGATGCAAAAACTTAGGCAAAAATGCAAAGGACATGTTCAGCACCAACTAGCACAAATTACAACTGGAATTTTTGTGTTCTGCACAGAAAACGAACAGTGCTAAGTGCTGGAGACACTAGCAGAAATTAAGTCTGTGCTTAATCCTCCTCTACGTCTACCTGCTCATTATCACATTGTTGGCCACTTCTAATGTTTCAATTATTAATTCTATTTAGGATAACTCATAAATCTATAGCTTTGATTTCTCCTCCAATGTAGACATCCTAAATTCATCAAACTCAACTCACCTAAAAGTAAATTCACTGTTACTCATAAACTAATTCCTCTTCTTACCTCCCCAAATTTCCCATACCCAAACAACTGCCAAGTCCTAATAACATTAAAGGTGGCAAAGATACTGATAATAATGATACTCATAGCAGTAATATGGTAGCTAATGTTTACTGAGCACACTTCATCTGTGTGCCATACACTGTGCTAGAGCTCCCTGTGGGAGGTGCTAACATTAGCCCCTTACATTATGACGAAGCAGAGGCACAGAGATTCAGTAACTAACCCAATGACTCACAGCAAGTGATGAAACCAGGGTGTGAGTCAAAGTCAGAGCAGTCCAGAACCTGCACACTGCACTTCACTTCTCCTGATTACGTTTCCTCTGTGCCTTTCTCACTATCTTTTCCTTTCAACCCCTACTTCTTGCCACCCAAATGCAGGTTCTCACCTGGACTGCTTTAATAGTCTCTTGACTTTTGAACTGGCTTCCTAATAACTTCTACTCTCTTCTCTCCAATTTTTCTCTCATAACACATATTTCTGGAGCAACTCTTTATTTAAGCTTACTGCAGGAAAGGCCAACTCAGACCCACAAAACAAGTGTGACGAGGAAATCCCAAAACCACGCTGGTCTTGATTCAATTGGCCAGAGTCCCCGCCCCCCAGTAAGTGATTCTCTGCCTTCCCTCTGAGCAGTCACCGCAGCCGTTTCATGTCCATAGTTTTAAAGGACTTGATCTGAGAGCTGAAGGGAACCCAGAGCATAAGCACGAAGAAAACGATTCCTTAGTGACGACTGTTATCTCCTCTTATTTGTCACAACAGGACATTTTCACTCCTCTTCCTTCCCGAGACCTGCAACTGCAGGGTTGACGATTCACCACAGCTTCCCCAAGCAATTTCCTTCCCTGACACGAGCAACTGAGGTCTGAAGTATTTGCCAGCCTTTCTGAGGGCTTGGAGTTCCTAATGACTGCAGTAAATGGTGGATGTTTAACAGGAGCTAAAGTTCCAGAAAGCAATGGTTTTGTATCAGACAACATAAAAACATTTGCCCAGCTCCACTCTGCTAGAGACCCTGGTAAGCTTCGTGAGGGTAGGACACTATTCAGTGGCATTCACTACTGTGCCCTTTCACAGCCTGGCACAAAATAGGCACTCAATAAATACGCCCTGAGTGAAAATACTGTCCCTTTTGCATAACACACCTTCACCTCCTCTTGTTTTTTTAGTCCAGAACTGTAGTGCCCATTAAAGTGTTTCTTCTGCCTGTTTTGTGCCTAAACAGCCTTTTCCATCTTTGGTAGATAATTGAAACTATAAAGGGATTTCAGTATTGTACATCAGAGTGGCTGTGTGGCTCGTCTACAAGACTGTTCTCCTGTCAAATGGTAATATAAGGATACTTATACAGTGCATACTCTATGCAAACTACTTCACAACTGTAACCCATTTATTCTCCAAAACATCCTTATAAGGCAGGGACTGTTATTACCTCCTCATCACAAATGGAAGATGCTAAGGGTTTGGAGAGAGTAAGTGGCAGGTCCAAGGCCATGCAGCTAGGAGGAGTGAAGCCATGATCTATATATATAAAGAGCCAGGGTCCATAATGTCTAAAATGACAGAACGGACGACTGAACACCGGAAGTCAGTTCTGCAATGACTGCTGCACTGCAGGCGCCACAGCGACCCAGCACTGACTGACGAGGGGGCTGCAGATCAGGCCTGGAGAGAGAAGCAGGGTCTGATCTGCAGCCTCCATGGCAGCTGTTGATCAGCCCTTGCCTCTTTTTTTCTCCAGGCCTCGCCAGCAGCTGAGGGGGCCGCTGATTAGCCCCGCCTCTCCGGTCAGGCCCGGAGACAGCGACTGGCATAGAAACTGTCCAATCAGAACCAAATCTGGGTGAACTGCAAGGAGACAATGGCTGCCTAGGAGGTGGAGCTTTTGATGCTGACTGGCATAGAAACCGACCAATCAGAACCTAATCTGGGTGAACTGCGAAGGCAGAACCTAAGGTGGGGGCTAAGGAGGAGTTTTAAAGGCAATAGCTGTTTGGTGTAAGGTGTAAGAAAGTGGGGGCCAAGGCAGAGGCAGCTAGGGGTGATCAGGCCGGTTGGGGAGGGCAGTTGGAGGAGAGATCAGGCCAGCAGCAGAGGCCATTGGGGGTGATCAGGCAAGCAGAAGTAGTTAGGGGCGATCAGGTCGGCAGGGGAGGGCAGTTGGAGGAGAGATCAGGCCAGCAGCGGAGGCCATTGGGGGTGATCAGGCAGGCAGAGGCAGTTAGGGGCGATCAGGCAGGCAGGCAGATGAGCGGTTAGGAGACAGTGGTCCCAGATTGTGAGAGGGATGTTCAACTGTGAGTCTCCAAGAGGTCCCCAACTGCAGAGGGTGCAGGCTGGGCTGAGGGAACCCCTCCCTCCCGTGCACTAATTTCGTGCATCGGGCCACTAGTTTGAATATAAGCAGTGTGGCCCCAGAATTCATGCTTTCTCTCTCTCTTGATTTGAGAGACACAGAGAGATTCAGAGAGAGAAACAATGACTTGTTGTTCCACTTATTTATGCATTCACTAGTTGATTCTTGTATGGGCCACGACTGGGAATCTAACCCACAAACTTGGCATATTGGGAAGACACTCTAACCACTAAGTTACTCAGCCAGGGTAGAGTTCATGCTCTTAAACCATTGTGTTAAGATGGTACTTTTATCTAGCCAAAGCTTAACTTCCAAACCAAGTTAGAAAAGATGGGACACTGCCTTCAAATAACAAAACAAATACTGTTATAGGGTGGATGAATAACACAAGAAGCTATTTTGAAAACATGACAATTCTGATCTGCTTTTCCAGGCCATGATGATATATAATTATTACTTAAATTTACTTTTAAAATTTGTAATAAAAAGAAGAGCATATCCATAAGGTAGATTTGGCACAAGTTTTACAGGAACTAGTTGGGAGACATACTATGTGCATATGAGTAAAGGAGAGAAGCACGAGAAACTGCAGGTTTGGACAAGAGATGATAGGTGAGAAACGTCAACAACTTGTGCTTTACTGGAATACTGGAGGGAGTAGAAAGGAAGACACAAAATAATGAGGACATCTACGCATCATGGCACTGTGGTGGCCATCGCTTGAAATAATATTTTAAAAGTGACCCGAATGCCTGATGACGATCATCACCACCATCGAAAAGAAATTCGTACGTACTTAGTATCGGCTGTTTTAGTACCACAATGCTGATGGATATAGCGAAGGCTGCCAGACATTTCTCTGTGCTGGGGTGTTTTAGTATCTCTTTTAGGGAGGCTAGAAGCCAATCCTTTAAATTTGAAAAGTCTCATGCTGCCAATTACCGTGAGCTATGAAAAACCTGTAATAACAAGGCCATCAGCAGACCCCGAACTTTTGGTTCACAAGCATACAGAAACTCAGAAACATGCCCTTCTTTCCCATCTCCTCCAAACTCTCCTTCCTTGATTGGGTCAGTTTTATAATTTGGTGGCTTCAGATTAAATCTTGAGTACAAAGCAAACTCCACTTCCAGGTACATTTGCTGCTGTCTACGGCTGCTTTCCTTCGCCCACAAGTCACCACTGAAGGACAATCCCACCGGCACACTCTATGATGGAACTGAATAAAGTGTTTTCTGAGAGTGCTGAACCATGAGGCCACAAGATGGATGAAGTAACTGGGCAGTCTCCAGGCAAAAATAACAAAAAGAGACTAAGCTAGTTCTTAAAGTTAAATGCAGCTCAGGGCCAGCATGCACAAATAGACCCACAGTATCTAAAAATGTCAATTTAGTCAGGATTATTTTCTCTCAAATTTATCACAACCCTGTTAATGTCTTAAGTGCCTACTGAGGAGCAGATGCTGGATGAATACCTTCATCTTTTATTTCTCCAGCCCAAACTGGGGGCAGT